GTACCGAGACAATACCACGACAGCTCTGCATCCTCAAGATGGGAATAGCTTTGCGGTTGTTTATAATCTCACGACCTCCGATGAACAGAAGAGAAGGATATCCGAGGGCCTCACGCAGAATTGGAACGATATTGGGCCTGTTACTCCGGAGTTGAAGGATACAATTAGTCTTTTTGTCTCTTCATGGGAGGTCAGTCGCTGTAGGTCCTTTAATCATGGGGTACTGATGAATAGGTTCATACGTAGCTCAACGCTCACTTCGAAGCTGGAGAGCCCGATCGGGCGTTGGATCTTGTTCGCCGGCTCTGGGGATACTCACTTGACGGGCCGAACATGGGCGGGACAACGATTGTGGAAGGGCTGTCGGCAAATGGATCGTTGTAGTAAGTAGGTCTTCAATCTCATTGTATGAGGACTCGTACTAACTTACACGGTCGCGTCACAGCTACCGAAGCCAAGCGGGTTACAACTACGACTCGGCCTATACCTCCCTTGCGCATTCTTGGTCGACGGGTCCTACTCACCTGCTTATTAATCGGCTCTTGGGGCTGAGAATTATCTCGAGTCAAGGACAAGAGTGGGAGATGCTCCCGAGCGTTCCTACAGATCCGCGGGAGCGATTGACAGAGGTGAAAGGCGGGTTCGAGACGAAGTTAGGGATGTTTGAGGGGGAGTGGAAGATAACGGCGGGAGGTGTCATCCAGATCAAGGTCAAAGCTCCGGTGGGTACGAAAGGAAAGATTGGATTGAGAAAGAGTCATTTCGGAGGCAGGGTTGCGGAAGTGAGTGGGAATGGGGAATGGACGAAGATAGCATTGGAGCGGGGGTAACCTGGCCCTTTCAATGTGAATCGATACTGGAACTTCCCTCAATTTCACGCCGCTCAAATCAGACGTAAAGTTTAGGAACAACACGACGTCATAAATCCATAAATAAAAAGTAACAAACGATATCCGTGCCAAAAAGTTCGTCGTCAATCATACTGATTAATTACTGTAAGGTCCGTAAACACTGCTCCTCCACTGTCATTGATCACAAACTGGAAGGCCACCCATTTACTCGGTCCTCTTGTCAACAGAGTAGCGGTGGAACGCATCAGCGCGGTTGCAGTCGGTGAATGTGAAGTCGCTCGCGTCCAAGCAGAGACCGGACGCCTTTGACTTGACCATACAACCGCTCGCGACCGAGAGGCTGAAGCCATTTGCGTCGCAGATGTTGCAGTCGACTTCGAAGAGTTGGTCACTAGAAGAGATGGAACATGAGTTAGTATGTATATTGAGGAAGAGGTAAGAACACATACTCATTGGCTCCGGAGGTGGACACAGCTCCAAACTCGAGTTTGTCGTCGACAACTGTGGCGGTCTGGCTCCAGTCGGTGGGGCTCCTAAAGTTGAAAAATGAGGTTAGTACCAAAGCAAATAACGATGAGCGTCAGGACTCACTTCAACAGGAAGTTGGAGGGGAAGTTTCCGTCTTGTTCGAGACGGTAGATGTGGGTCTCCCCGATGGTGATCTTCCTTCCGTCAAAGTCCGAAGCAAACTGGACGGTGTCTCCCCTGGCATTAGGAGTGCAGGTTTCGTCACGTTTCATTGGGATCGCTGAGGCGGAGACGGAGAGGAGGATGGAGGCGACGACGAAGAGCATGGAGAACATCGTGAGGAAATAGGAATAGGAAGCAACGACTCTGGAGCGGTAAACAAACGTGAGAGTGAGAATGATCAGATCTCGGTGAAGAGAGAAAAAGTGATCAAGTGAGACACTGAGTGGAAGGAGAAGTGAGGAAAGGGAAAAGAAATTCGAGACCTTTTATGGGGACTTCAGCCACCTGCAGCCCCGCAGGGCTGTTTGCCGCTCGTCTCGGGACCTTCAATCTGAGACGCCGAGATACCAGTTTCTCAGGATTTCAAATTGACTGTGTATCGCCCCCCTTTACCAGAGTACCTTGGAGCTGCACAGTATAACATGGTGACCCTGCGGCCAATCACCGGGGACTCCTTCGGAAGCGAGGAGTCGAGAGGCCAAGAAAGCATGCACACCGCAATACTGCCTCAAGAAAGCTCAGGTTTCGACGCCAGGTTGACTCTGATTTAATGGCTCGGGTTGGACGGTTCATTTATGTCGGAAACTTCTGGCCGTTCATAGCTTCCCAGCGCTCATATACGCCGCACAGCTCAGTGTCTTAGTGCAAAATGTGCTTCAAAGAACTGTGCTCTGGACTCTGGACCTCAAAGGCCAGAGTCCAATCTCCCCATCTGGAGGACTGCTGCTCTCGGATGATTACACTTGCTATAGATCTCACACACTGTTATAAAATCAATCCGATGTGGTGTAGTGGCTAACATTGCTGTCTTTCAACTCGAGTGTGGGTGTCAGAGCACAGCAGCCCGGGGTTCGATTCCCCGCATCGGAATGAAGTAATACGATGATTACTTTTTTATTGCCTTTCATTTATTCTTCCTTCCGCTTCCTCTACTCGATGATATTTAGACTCTGCTCATCGCTGAGACCAGGAATGGGAGCTGCCATTACGATTCGACCCAGCCTGATGTCGGTCTGGGCATCCGCAAGGCCGCCGCCCGGGTCTGATACTATCGACTTGAACTTTGAACATGACCACCATCATCGATAACAAATCAACTCAGACTGCGCACATTTCAGCAGCATCCCATATGACAGCTACCGCAGCAAGACGAAGCAGTACTGCGGCGAAGAAATAGGTCATTGAAATCGAAGGTCGGGCTTTGAGCGTGAGTTCACAACTTTATCATCTTCATCGTCTGACTGGTTTCGTTTGCCATAAAAGCATGAGAATGAGGGCTAGAAGAAACTCAAAAAATGTCCAGAGAACATATTCTACGTTCACCTCTCAGTCTTGAAGACGACTCTTGGAATTTTCAAGTCCCTGCAGCGTTGTTACAGTCACCAAATCCCAAAAGAAATCGAGCGGGAGAAGTCACTATATCTGGGAAATGCATTCGTTTTACCATCGACAAGCTCGTTATCCAAGTTGCCAAATTTCCTTACAATCGTATTCTGCACACGGATGACCCTTCAAAGTTCATTTTATGTTCGTTTGGCGACCTGCGGTTCCCAGAAACGCCGTTGAGGGTGACCGGAGAGTATATTATGAAGGTTATGAGGGAGGGCTTGTGGTTGAATGGAGTGCAGTACAGGTTCTATGGCCATAGCAATAGCCAATTGGTGAGTCCTTTTGATTCAATGCAAGCTATTAGCTTCTAACGTTCACTTGTAGAGAAGTCGAAGCTGTTTTTTACGCGAAGCTCACAATGATCAAGAGCTCGACAACAGAATCTATGCTATGGGTGACTTTGGGAGAATAATGAACGTTGCGAAACGTATGTGTCACTTAGTGAACTTATTCACCTTCCTATTGACCAGAACGTGCTACCTAGGTGCCAAACGGATAGGATTGCTGTTTTCTGAGGCACAAGTCGACTTTCAGCTGGATCCTCAACGCATTGCCGACATTCCTGATATCAAAATGGGAGACGAACTGTTCTCGGACGGTTGTGGACTAATGTCTAAGAGGCTCGCCGTTCTAGTCGCGAAAAACAAGAGGATAATATTCCGTGAAGTTCGCTATACACCTTGCGTCTTCCAAATTCGGTATGTCTCTACTTAATATCAACCGTGTACTTGCTTTACTGAGAGATGACCAGATACCTCGGTTACAAGGGTGTTCTGATGCTCCATCCACCTCTCGACGCTCCCAATCAGCCCCTCGCCCAATTCCGGAAGAGCATGAAGAAATTCAACACTACTACGAACACGACTTTCTCTGTAGTCGACTATTCCCGACCCTACGCATTCGGAAGACTCAACAACGACGTTATCGTCCTCTTATCCAGCCTCGGGATTACCAACGAAAAGCTCATCGCCAAACAACAAGAATACCATACCTGGATTACCGAAGCGTCCTCCGACCCTGTCAAAGCGTTCACCTTCCTCTCTTCGATGGAAGACTACGCTCTCGCGGAGAAGGTGTTGCTTAACGGACTTGACGATCCGGAAGTCCAACGGGGGGTCAGAAGCAAGCAGGCGAAAGAAGTGGCGAGTTTCAAGGGAGAGAAGAACGGAAAGAATCGGGCGAGGATGATCGTACACAAGTCGAGGTTGTTGTTTGGGGTATGTGATCCGTTTGGTGTATTGAAGGAGGGGGAGGTGCATATACGGATTACGGTTGCGAGGAAGGGAGCTTCGACGCCGATACACGGGGATGTCTTGGTGGTTAGAAATCCGTGTTTGCATCCTGGTCAGTGCGAATACGAGTCCGTATTATTTGGTTTAATGTTGACGCACCATAGGTGACTGCCTGAAACTCCGAGCGGCGAGCTACGACAAGTTGTCGCACCTGGTTGACTGTATCGTGTTCGCGTCCGTTGCTAAGCCAGGGAGACATGCTGCTCCTTCAATGAGTAGTGGAGGAGATTTGGATGGTACGCCTGCCTACAGGAGACTTCTTGTATACCTTACTGATGCACTTCCCTAGGTGACAGGTACTTTGTGTGCTGGGATCCGGATCTCGTACCCTCCGTCGTCGCTGAGGTGACTCCTTTTCTTCTTGATCATCTCCAGCCGGCTCACGTTCACCTCTAGTCTTATGACTACCCTCCCAACAGAGAGCGTGCCAGCAGGGGAGTCTCCCGTCAAGATATGGCAAATCACTTTGCTTCTTACAACAAGTACGTCCCCTCGTTGGAAATGGATAGTATAGTATCTCTGACCTTAACTCACCTCAGTGCCGGATTAGCTCGAGTTGCTGCCCTACATACGCGATGGGTTCCTGCCACTCCAAAAGGGGCTCTGTCTTCGCAATGTCAAGAGCTCAACGCTCTACACTCCCAAGCTGTTGATGGTGCCTCCGTCAAGATTCCAGACCATCTAGCCTCCCCGCCTCCTCGTCCTGAGGGCTCAGAACCCTTTGTCCTCGACGCCCTCGCAGAGCACGCCAAAGCATTCGCCGAACAATACGCTCAAACAGAGCCAGTACGAACCGACCTCATTACGACTCATGATCGCGACTACACAACCTCCGCCGATCTGACACAAGAAGACAGAGAACGTCTTCTCTTCAACCTTTTACAGAGCCACCAAAACAGTGTCTCCGAATACGAGCTCTTCACCCTCGTATGGTCATTCACTCGCAAATACCGCATCCCCCTTGATCCTTTCCTCGCTCACTTCGATTTCAGCGCGTTCACAGCACAGCAGAAACATGCGATTCTTAGTGTTCTCAGTACGGATTTGAGCATCAAAGTGGACGAGAGAGTCGTATGGAATTCGTTGTTCAGGTCGGATATCTTGAGTCAGAGGGAGCTGTATCAGAGGTGTTTGGATCATCCATTCAAGATGCAGAGATTGTATTCATCGAAGGCGAATGGGATGACGACGTTTTTTGAGTATTTGAGGATGGCTACACAGGATTATACGAGGAAGGTTCTGATTTTGAAGGTGTGTTTTTCTGCTCGCTTTATGCCGTATACTGAGCGATGAGTGTTCTTGTACAGACAGACGATCGGTTCTCGGTGGGCATCTTCATGCGTGGGGATATACCGTGGGACGAAGATCCGGTTGTCGGGCCCAATGTTGTTGTTTGTTCGTTCCTGCCGCAGACGACGGATGCCCTGTCGACGTATCGTCCTTGTACGGTGGATTATAGGCTTCATTGCGGGGACAATGTGTTCCAGCTATACGACAAGCTGCGGGGGAATACGTTCGTCTTTCTGACGAAACCGCCGAAGGCATCAGGTGCCGAGTTGGCTGCGAGTATTGCGTTGCAGAAGTTCTCCGCTAGGGTTCAGAAGGTATGATTCCTTGCTCATCTTCTCGTCTACTGCGCTGCTGATGTTTTGTGCAGCAACTGGGTCGTTTGAATCGTCAACCTGTGACAGGGATTGAGATACATGTCGTGTCGAATCGCGATAGGGTATCTCACCAACTTTTCGATCTGTGGTTCGAACAGTAGGTCACGCCGTATTTCAACGATCGCCCCAATGCTGAACCTCTTTCACCATCAGTGTTCCTACCGAAACCTACGTACGAAGGTTCGAACGCGAACGAACTTCTTACACTCTGAACGACATCTCTCAAGTCAAATGGGCTCGGTATCCTCCGTGGATGAAGGATGTATTCGTTCCCAAACGTAACGAAGAAAGAATCAGAGCCCTTCTGACTGACAAGCCCCTTACCGACCTCGACAAGTGCATGGAGCTCAGCCTGACCTACCATGCCGAAGACGAACTATTCTGGATCTTCAGCCTCGTTGTATCACGGGACCACCCCCTCCCTCGAGAATGGATATCCAACTGGATGGACGCTCATCCACCCCTCGCGTTCGTCTTACTCAAGATACATCCCCCATACGAAGAGATGAAGCGCCTCCCAGCCATCACTCGCCCTTTCCGTTTCCACATCCTCCAGAACGTTATTCGCTCCACTAATCTTCTTGGTATCGCTTCGTTGGTCGCTCTCGAGAAACTAGCAGGGAGTATCGCCGAGATGCCTGTCGAAGAGTATTTTAACCTCCTATGGTTGGCTGCTCAATCTGTACGGGCGCCACAGCTCGTCCAAGAGACTCTTTTCGTGCTCAACGACTGCCGAGCCTTCTCTGCTCCCAACGATGATCCCGACTCTACTTCAGGCGGCCATTCTTCGGCGTTACGATATGGCCACCTGCACGCTTTGGGAATCGTGATAGATAGGGCAGATGAAGCGGCAGATGAATGTCCTTGTGACGATACTGGGAAACCCCGGAAACAGAGAACACCGCCTACTCAGACGAGGTTACAGAGGGTCGAAGGGCATCCTAACCAGGTCAAGGCTACGATTCGGGTGGATGCAAGGACGAGTGTTAGGCTTCATTCGCATGTGAGATTGCAGGCTGCTTCGAAGCCTGAGAGAGGGTGGGTTGCTCCGATTGTGTTAGATGGGGTGGTGATTATGTCGCTGAAGGGGGAGTTGAAAGTCGATCTGATGCATCCGCCGCCGCCGGAAATGGATCCGGTGCCGTTACCACCATTGCCAGAGGTGGCGGAGGATGTCCAGGTGCAGGAGGAAGAAGAGGAAGGGGAACCAAAATCGTTGCTGGATTGGAATCTGTATGACGCTGGTAGCACTGGTACGCCCATCACTACTGAGTGTTATTTCTACCTATGCTGAGGACCTTCCTCGTCACCCACAGCCACCTCCCGGGCTATGCTTGATGCTCTTACGCGCCTAATGAGAGAGAAGGACGAGTGTTGTGGCTTCTATGATATCATCACGGGTGATCGTTCAGATTCTGACGGCGCTCCTCGTTCTTTCCCTCCTATTCTCGGAGATGAGGAACATATCGAAGGTCTGAACCCCAGTCAAGAGGCAGCTATTCGTTCGTGCAGTGGTCCATTGTCT